TTTTCTAATCATTCATAAATAAAATTTCAAATAATACTGACATTAACATAGTTTTCATTATTTCTAAAGAAATTTTCCTGTCATACGGACGTTAAGATATACAATTTTCAAATGTGATCAATATTTTGGCACAGATATAATAAGAATAATTTGTAAATAATCTAATTTTTTAGTCTAATCATACATACAAAAAATTTCAGATAATATTACTTAGATATATACAATTTTTGAAATCTGATGAAGATTTCTAGACACAGAGATAATGAAAATAATGTATAATCAATTTAATTCTTTTTCTAATCATCCATAAAAAAAATTTCAGATAATACTGACATTAGATTTTTATTTTCTAATAATTACTAAAAAACAGTTTCGTATTATATTGACGTTAACAATATACAATTTTCAAACGTATCGAAGATTTCTAGACAGAGATAATAACATTAATAATAATAATAATTTATAATAAAATCTAATTACTTTTCTAATCATCCATAAAGAATAATTTCTAATAACATTAAAATCCAATTTATAAAATTTATTTTTTTTTTCTTTTATAACAATTAATTTGATAGATATTAAAACACGATCGTTCCATTCGTCTGTTAATCTTTCCAAAGGATTTCGGTCGTTAGCCAAAGACTTAAGAGTTAGAGTTAGTGTTAATGTCGCTTAGTGAATCACTCAGTATAGTTTTCGATCATTTATCACGCGTGAGCGAAGGAAGAGGTCGGATCTTTCAAAATCCCTTGTCGACGACTCTACGGGTCGTGGATCCTGTCGACCGGGTCATCGTAAGCCAGCATTACGAGGCGAAAAGCACCAGTCAAAAAAATTACGCGGCAGATTCCTCAAGACCTCCCGCATCTTCGTTCTCTTAAAGCATGCCTGTTTCTTATCCGTAAGACGCGTTAATTATTCTCGCGTCGTTCATCGATTATCGATTATCGATTATCAATGTTCTTTTATTTTCCAATTTTCTATTCGTCCTTTTCTCCGTCGATCCTACAAAATTCATTCTTCGTTTAAATTATGAAATTTCGTCGATCAACAGTTTTTATTTTTGTACGAAGATATTGAAGATATGGAATTTTATCGATTAAAAAAAAAAAAAATGTTTATTTTAAAATATTGACAAAGATTTCTATACGTTCCTTTCTTCGTCGATCCAACAAAATACAATAATTTTTATTCTTATATAAAGATATGGAAGATATGGAAATTTCATCGATAAAAAAATTTTTATTTCAACCTTGAAAAATATTGTTATTCTATGAAACTCCATAATTTAATTTCTACATTGAAAAATTAAAATTGCTACAATGAACAATATCATTCGGTATTCGATGAATCCAATTGTAATCTTTACTATCGCTCACAACTATATATGATTATTCTATTCAATGATCAACCTGAAAATTTTTATCGTTTCAAAAATTTCAATAATCATTGGATTTTATCAATCTGACATTTTCGATTAGTTTACAATTTCATTGAGTATTTAAAAATCGATCTAAAAATTGTATCAATCCAGTTTCATTTTTCTATATTTTATACTCAATATTATACTCAATACTCTATTTTTATTCTTTATCCTCTATTTGAAGTATAAATCCATTGCTTACATCGATTCTTATAATTTCATTGAATATATTAAAGATACTTTTTCAATAAAGAATAGTTTTATTGAATATTTCAGTAATCATCAATCTCAATTATATTTTTTTTAATCTATTAAATTGCTATACCACAAGTTATATTTATAATAATTATATAAATATAATTACATTTATTTATTACGTAAATATGTTATACTTATGTACTATATTTACTATACGTATAGTTATCTACTATAATACAACGTTCTACGGAATTGTACGACTGAGTTCGTATTGGACTCGTAAGTAACTTTGTCTTTTTTTTTTTTCACTCTGTTATTTCTTCTCTCCCTCTCGTCGATTTCCCTGTTTGATAATGCCGACAGCGATATCGAGCTTACGTCGCGATCGGATATCACGATACTTGACTTTGGTGGGCTGGTGAGCCAGGTGACTGTGCTAACTGATTGACAGTTGGATAAACACGTTCGGGAAGTCTTTGCCGAGGATCGTCTATACAATCGATGAGTCATTTCGGGCTCTTCGAGGTCTTCTATGAGAGAAAGAGATAGAGAATGAAAGAGAGAGAAAGAGAAAGAGAGAGAGAAGGAGTAAGAAAGATACGTCCATACATAAGGCTACTAGCGGACCACGCATGTTCCTTTTTCTCATCGCGTGTAACGAACATTTCTATGCCAAAGTTCATCGTTCCGTCGTCGAGTCGAAAGTCAATCTTTTATTTCCTTTTTATTTTTTTATTTTTTTTATCTTTTTTCTCTTTTTATTTCTTTTTTTTTCTTCTCTTTCATCTTTTTTTTTCTCTTTTTCTTCCTGATTAAATGAAATCCTCTATGGACGAACGCTACGCTTACGCGAGAAGAAATTTGCAAAATTTGTAGAAAGATCAAAAACTGATTTATAGTTGAATAAGGAATATGTGAGCTGATAGAAGATAAATAAGTACTCGATATTATTGTGGATTGATAAAAAGTTGTAAGATGACAATTTTAAATACTCGATGAAATTGTTAACTGATAATAATAGTTACGGGTTGATCATTGAACAACAAAGAAAATTATGAGATAATGAAAATTGCAGGTTGATCGTTGAATACAGAACAAAATTGTAACCTGATTTTTGATATTTTAATATCAAATGAAATCGCGAACCCAATTAAAATTTTAGATCAATTGTGGAATACAGAATGAAATAATAGATTAATAAAAGTTTCAGGTTGATAATTATATATTTAATGAAATTGTGAAGTAATGAAAGTTTCGGATTGATCATTGAATAATCAATAATATTGTTAACTAATGAAAGTTTTTGGTTAATTAATGAGTATTCAATAAAATTATGAGATAATAAAAATGTTAGGTTGATTTTTAAATACCGTACAAAATTATGATCTGACAAAAATTTTAGGTTAATCATCTGATACTCAATGAAATCATGATCCAATTAAAGTTTCAGGTTAATTGTTGAACGCAGAATTAAGAAATACAGAATAATATTAAATAAATTGATCAAAGTTTTCAGCTAATATAATTACACGAAGTGAAACGATGGTATTCAAGAACGTTGTAATCACTCATATACATGTCAAAATGTATGTAATCCATTCTCAACTATTAACAGTTCTAAAGTATAAAAAAAAATGAACCAGATCTCAATGGATTAAATAAAATCAGTTTTATAGATCAACAAAATAATTCACGATAATAGGAATATTAGAAATAAGTTGAATAAACCATTTCTACGACGTTAGATGTCCAATAAAATGTTCGATAAATTATCTTTTTCTTTCTTTCTCTCTATTATAACTATAACCTAATCGAATTGATTTCGATTACGTTTCTGTCAGGTACGGCACTAAATTGAGAAAAGCCAGGAGATATCTCGTATATGAATCGAAACGCGGGTTCGATAACGGCGCCAATTACACGTTGTGTTCCCTTTCGATTTATGTCGTCCACAAAATACTCATTCTTATTGGTCAACGGAGATCAAGAGACTTAACTGAATTGCGTTTCCTTAATGAATATGCACATATTATACGAACGCATACACTCTCAAGTAATAGATGTATGGGTTAAATCGTATATCTGTATCATCAGAAGAACAACGATACTCAATTCTGAAACGTTTCGTATTCTACAAGGCTGCCAAATTAACCAGTAGAACGTTTCTCCTTCTTGTTTAGATTAAAACTAAGGATCTCGTTGGCACCCAATAATTTTCATGTCTCACTCGTTCGAGTCACGAAAAATGTGTTCGTGGTCATGTATGCATATGATTCTTTTTATTTCTTTTTTATTATGAACTTTTCTTTCATTATCTTTTTTGTTCTTTGCTTTTCATTCTATTTATGCATTTTTTTTTACTTTCTTTTCTTGTTTTTTCTTTTTTTGATTAAGACTGAATACGTAATACTTAACAACAATAATCAAATTGGAATTCGAACTGACAATTAATACAGTGATTTTATAATAATGACGCGTTTTTGATCCAATGTAACAGTAGATATATGACAAATAAACATTTTCGTTATTACTGACATATTTATTAAACAATTTGTATTTAATTTATTCAAGACGAGAAATAAATACCTAAAGAATAACTAGATATTCAATATTCTATTCATTTAATAATAGTTAAAAAATTCATTACAACGTATCTCTATTGGATAAAAATGTCTAATCCTTATCTAAAAAATTAAAAATATTAATTTAATTATATTATAATTCTAAAAAATTCAACAAATTTCTATTTGATATCTTTGAGCCTTTTCTAAAAAATTCAAAAATTTAATTTAATTATAAGTAAGAAATTCATTACAATACATTTCTATTTGTTAAATGTTTTATCCTTATCCAAGAAATTGAAAAAGTCAACTTAATTATAATTAAGAAATCTATTATTAGATATCCCTATTTGATAAGTTTCTTATTCAAGAATTGATGAATTAAAAAACTTAATTTTGTTATATTATAATTCTAAGAAATTCATTAGAACATATCCCTCTATTTGATAAGTGTCTTAACCTTTTTCAAAAAATTGTAAAGCTTAATTATAGCTAAGAAACCTATCACAACATGTCCCTGATGAATAAGTTTCTTTCTCAAAAAAATTGTAATATTTAACTTAATTATAACTAAAAAATCTATTACATTGATAACTGACTTATCCTAGAAATTAAAAAATGTATCACAAGAAATTAAAAAATTTATCACAAAATATCTCCATTTAATATACCCTAATAAACAGAAATGACGAAAACTTATCATGAAATATTTCCCGTTTAATGAATGACTTAACTTAATAAAAAATAACAAGAAACATAAAATATAAAAGTAATATAAAAAAAGAAATAAGAAGAAGAAGAAGAATAAAATGACTTACAGTGCATAGTCGTGCCTGCAGTAGAGTCGCATGCCCCTTAAAAAACAAGAGTGTTGATCGTGCAACGGTCTGGCACAAGCGCAACACCTAAGACACCTCGAGTGCCATGTACGCCCGCCAACGCACAAAATAGTTCGTTCTCGGACGCGTTCACCGCATCCACCGCACTCCATTACACCAGGAGACATGTCCGATCCGATGAGGCCACCAGTGGTTTCCGTCGGGCCCAGACTCGTACCAGTACCTTCGCACACGCCATCACCGTTCATATCCTCAACCTCCGTCTATAAATAAAGAAAAATTTTTTTTTCTATCTTTTTGTTCTTATTTCTTTTTATTTTGTGTTGTTTCAGTATTTTTTTTTTTTTTTTTTTTTTTATAATAAATATAGCCTCTAAATAATATACAAGTAAAACTGACGTACAACGCGATATTGAATATCTTGAAATTCCAAAATTTTTATATATCTATTTTCAAAGTTATATATTTTAAAAAACAATTCTTTATCAGGCTTGGTATATTTTTTTTGTAAATTATATAATGTGCATTAGATCATTGTCATTATATTGTTATTATAATCTATGTATTATATATTGTTGCTATAAACTGTTTAACGGAATGTTTAACGGGACAAGTAAGAAAATTTGTAAATAAAAAACATCTATGAAATGTTAATTTTGAAAATAGTGATGACGATTATAACATTCATTTTATTTTATTTTTTTCAAATTTTTATAATCTTATATTTATGTATATATGTTATCATTTATTTCATGATTTGTATGTTAACTTATATATATATATATATGAATTAGATAAAAATATACAGATATCCCTATATAAAGAAAAAGATATTTAAAATAATTTAAGAGAAAATTTAGAATCTACCTCCATTTTTTATTATATCAGAATCTCACGTAATACATTTACATACTATATACACACATGTATCTATATATGTGTATGTGTTATTCAATAGTTAAATTAATACTATTATATTTTTCAATGCTAATGATGGTAATAATAGAACAATAAATATTAAAGACAAACTATAATATAAATATGAAAGAAATTTATAATAACAATAATTATTATAATGATAAATTAAATTGAAGTGTAAATAAAAGTTTTATTTAATTTCATCGTTTTAGTTATTTTAATAATAATATTATTTAATAATAATAATAATAATAATATTAACATTTTTATAAACAATTTATTCTCTTTATAATTTTATTTTTTATTAATTTTATAATTTTTTTTTAAGTTTATAATTTTTTTTAAATTTCAGAATAATAAATTAATAATAATAATACTAATTTTAGTAATTTTATTATGAACTCATTGAGTAATAAACTTTGATTTTCATAAAAAAATGAATATTCAAAAATGGCGAAAATATTACCGTCTATATTTAATAATTCAAAATAAATGATCGTAACAAAATTGTAAGAAAGGAAGAAATAGTAATATTAAAAATAGAAAACAATTTCATTTTTTTTTTGTTTTTACAATACTTTTTTAATAATAATATCTGCTCGTTTGTTACACGGACGAACAAAAAGCAAGAAATAACGTTTGACGTATAATGGGTAATCCTTTCCACTGCATTAGAAAAATACAAATCGAAGTCTGTGACTCGTATAAATCGTATTGTCCCACCCTATATATAATAAATGCAGGCTCGATCACTGAAACCTCAACGTGTCCATGTCAACGAAAGCATGAACGAAACTTTGATGGATGCGACTCTTTCCTTCGTTTTCTACACAATGAGCCCTTTCGTTCTAGACGTCTAAGTCAGATATTTTTTGATCGGTTAACCGCGCCAAAAAAATCAACTATTTTTTTCTCATCAGTAAAGATCACATCCGGTATTCCATCTTCATTTTTATTTCGTAAAAATTTGACTCGAATATTGTCAATTTTAATCTTTTTTTCCTTACATATTATTTTTTTTATAACTTTTTCCATGAAACATTTGTGACGCCATTGTGTGTTCCGTTCACCATTTTTTATTCTGCCATCTTCTTTTATCGTTACTTTGTTTCTTGTTTCTTTTTTCTTTTCTTTTTTATTTTTATTTTTCGATCATTTTACGTATCAGTATGTCCATACCTAATTTCGAATTTATACATTTTAACGAAGATATTATATTCTGATGTTTTTTTCTTCTTTTTTTTTCTTTTTATAAGTTATGCGAAATTTTTTTTTCTATAAATTTTTTCTGTTAATATTCACATTCAGAAGTACCAGTTGAGTTCGAAATTGGATCCCAACAAGCCTAACGATAAACAGCTGGTCAATGAAAAAGACGCATAACAGGGTGCGTTCTTTGCATCGTTACAAACATGACTGCCTAGTCAGAATTACCCCCTCTTTATCTACCCTCAACCTTCCTTTTTCGTATCTTATTTTAATAATATAAATGATTATCCTTTATGAATTTACTGACACTCAACAATTCTCGGTTTCTGTATTTTCTTTTTCGTTTTTTTCGTATGTAATTTAATATAATTTATTATGCAAAACTACGAACATTATATATATATCATTTTACGAATATTAATAAATAAAAATTTATTTTATCTTTTATTTATTTAATATCTAAATAAAGACAAAACTCAATTAAAGTTTTTTTTTAATTTTTACAATTTAGATAATTACAAAGTAAGAAATTTGAAATCTTATAATTTACATCGCCCGACGCCATTTTGAAAGGTATGATAATTCCAATATTAATAAATCTATAATTTTTTCTTAACAACATATTATATATATATAATATATTCATATTAAATACATATTTTTTTTCTAACTGGATCATTTATTTCTGATCGTATTATATAAAAAGAAACAATAAAAATTATTAACAAAAATATCTATTGAAAGAAATAATACCATTCCTAATATTATAATTAATTTGAAACCTAATCTCGAACGGAACAAGTGTATATATATATATATATATATATATATATATATATATATTGTATATATATATATATATATATATATATATATATATATATATATATATATTGTATATACCCACATATATTTACAAAAAGCGAAACTGGTAATATCCCCAATAAAAATTAAGAATAAATTGAAAATAATTATAGAAATGATTAGCCAATGGAAAGACTGAAAAATGATAATAACCAGTAAAAAGAGACATATGCGAACTATCACTATGTCTACTGTTCGATTCCCAAGGTCACCTAACGAAGTGAGAAAAGCTGATCTCACGTATGACAAGTATAATAACAAAGGACGGGGTGTCGCGGGTTCGAATCCCCTCCCTTTCCCTTACCCTCTCCCTCACCACCAGACACACACGTTCGATTTTCACAGGACAATCCCCCGAAAATCACGCCCCTGACAGGTCTGTGTCGCACGCTCGGAACGAACTTTACTTTACGAGTGGAATCCAACGCATTACAAATGGCTCGTATAGAGAAGAGGGGTTGGTTGCCTGTGGCTACTACAGGGTGGCTCACACGTATCGAATACGTATATCATCTATATATGTATATATACAGTTAGGGGTGTATGTGTGCTTTGAAAGCCATGTTCTTCTTTGGTCTTTGAACATATATATATATATATATATATATATATGTATATATATGTATATGTATAGCTACATACTTGTAGATACATATGTATATATATAGATATATGTAGGTACGTTCATAGGAAGCTGCTAACGTAGGTATCACGTTACAATGACATTATGTAACTTCACACACCCTTATAACTGTGACGTTCGGTTAACCACCAACCATAACCAACCAAATGTTCGCACGTCGAACCGGCTGCAGTTACATACCACCCGTAGCTCGGTACTCCGTACTCGGTTGGTTATTGGCTTAGATGATGGAACGTATAACGTTACTTCTGAAGTATAAGAACGTTCAGAAACAGATGTTCTAGGTAGAATCAAAAGGGACGTTAGATTCAAATACGAGATTTTTAACTTGAAACGTTTGATATCCTTGCATTAGGAAAATGTAACGTTCTCTTTGATCGTTTAGAAATATTTTGTTTATCTGTTCTATTTACTATTACAGATTATTTTATTTATTTTGGACTTATTAAAAAGTAAATAATTATATTAATTTTTATTAATTTTCTTTTGTTGATATCAACAGGTTACACATAACTAAGTGGTCCAAGAAAAGGACAGTTTTTGTTTTATATGTAATTTATTTCATAAATAAAAAATCATGAAATATGTGTGATACTTTGTGTATATTTCGAGGAATGTTTTCCAACAAGAAAAAAAGTAAAACATTTCGTAATTCTCTTTGAATTGTCGACGTTGAAACAATCAAAATCGTTTTATGTTGCAATATATTAAAAATGAAAAAAAAAAAACGAAGAAGCCCTTAAAAAATATTAAAGAAAAAAACTGACGTTTAATATTTTCATTTAATAAAAAAATATATGAATAATTGAAGTTTAACATATGATCTTCGATAAAAATATTTAATTAGTTTTTTAATGATTAAAAAATGAAACTATAATTTTGAAGAAAAAATTTTTAAATTACAAAAAATTAGGATAATGATAGGAGAAATAATCGTGTTAAATTTTTCATTCAAATCTGATAAGCACTTTTCAAAATATCATTTGCATCGATTTAAAAAAACATAGTTTCGAGAAGACAACGTTTAAAATTTAAATAAATCTGTAACTTTGTTAATTTTTTAGAATTTTTTCTAACGAAAAAGATTTTCAGAAGGAATATTTTTGTGAATATAATATTGTGGAGTAAAAATATTTCGAAAGAATCAGTTTTCTTTTTCGTTTTTTTTTCAACTTTTCAAGTTACATAATCATATCAAATAATAATAATAACAATAATAATCAGTAAAAAAGTCTTCTTCTTCTTCTTACTTTCTTTTCTTACTATTTTTCTATTTTTTTTTTTTTTTTATTTTGATAAAACATGTGAGGTAGTTTAAGATCATATGAATTAGGCTCGATTAGAAAGGATTCACAATGGGCTAAGTTGAATCTGTAAAGGTGTAATACGTATGTAATAAATATCGGAAATTGCACTTGCCGCTTGGTTTGCGAGTCTCGAATAACTCGAGTACCGCACCCACGCTCTAGGTTCCAAAGGCTCGGCCTTCGGAGAGTTATAGACGACAATAATGACCCCTGCTCGCATGCGAGGCGGGATCGTAAAACGGAGGATTAGACTTCTTTTCATTATCCGTCTAATATACTGTATATCAGATATGAAATACGCGGCTTACTGAGAGAGTCTCTA